AGATGTAGGCTTTAATTGGGCGTACACCTCTTCGTCGATAGGGAATGATCGAAATTGGGCCAGCATAATCACAACCGGTATGAAGAAAAGCCTTTGCTTGTCGCACCCTACAGGCAGGTAAGTCTCCCATAATGGGAATTTGGGGTTTGGGTTTTAAACGAAAACAGGTGTTACAATTTTGAATTCTGCGTCTAATAATACCACGAGCGGCAAGTATCCAATATCGCTGTCGTAGCAAAGATAGCACTAAATGAGGTCCCGTATGTAAGTTCAACTGGTGATAATGATCGATGAGAAGATCTACTAAGTGATCTCTTTTGGGAAGTAAAATAGGGTGTTGCACATCAAACTCAGAGTCTGAATTACTAAGCCTACCACCCACTCTAATAAGATTGTCATTCAAAAACGGTCGCAAGTGTCGTAAGGATGGTGGTAGAATCCCCTTTGTGAGCAAGGCAATGAACAAGAATGTAAACTACTATACGTAACAATTTCATCCATTTCGAGCAACGTGCTATTAAAGAATAAAATGGATTTTCCTGGCCTTGAGAAGCCACCAGGAACAGTTTCATTTCTGATTGATTTTCTTTTGCGTGGACTGTACGAATGGGCCATTTCGAAACATCCATTTTTAGCCATTCCGGACCACTCGCCCAACATCGATTATTGATTAATTGGTAAGGAGTCAAACCTCTAGATAGACAATCACTTATATTATCTTTACCGTCTACATGATACCACGAGGAAAGGTCTAGTTGAGAACGAATTTGAACAACCCTATTTGCTATGAAAATTGGCAATTTCGAGGGACAAGTAGCAATCCAGGGCGACTGAAGAGTCAGACAAAGCGTAAAGTTTGCGAATATCTAAACGAGATTGGTAACTATCTACTATAAAATGGAGAAGCTTAGCAAGCAGATGGGCTGCACAAAGTTCTAGTTTCGGTATGGTAACAACCTTTACAGGGGACACCTTTGTCTTAGCAACGAGAAGATGTCCTTGAGTTCTATCTCCCATACTAACAAGATATACTACTGCCCCATATGAGGTTAAACACGCATCTGCAAACCCAACTATGACTACAGGCTGATTCAAAGTAACGCCGATATAACGAGGTATCTTAAATTCTAAGATGGCAATTGAGAGTTTATTAAATCCCATCGCTGGGTTATACTGGGAGGACATGGTGTGTCCCAATCTAATTGGATACAGATGTCCGATTGAAGTTTAGGCCCAGTGAATAAAATATCATTTAAGGAATAAAGCGACGTCGTTTTACACGAAGCGTCGAAAACAATACGGACGGGCGTGGTGCTAGACCCAGGTTTAAAGATGGCGTGATGAGGTATAAAATAGTTTGGCTCTATGGGTGAATGTTCCATTACTTTAGACATATGACCTTGTGTTAGATAATCTTGAATAATACTCGAGTACTGTATCCTAAGAGTCTCATCCTTTTCCAATCTTTTTTCAAGGGATAAAAATCTACGGTGGGTAGTGGCGTACGAATCACCTAAAAAGGAACTATCTATTTGAAAGGGCAAAGCTACGGTGTAGCGACCGTTCGCTTCCCGTTTATAAGTTGATTTAAAGAAGTTTTCACACTCTATATCTTCCGGATTTTCAAATGTTAAAGCGGGTACATCTTCAAGCTCCCAAAATCGCTTTAATAATGTTTCAAGCGAGGAATCCGTAGTAAGGAAAAAACTATGTAAATTATCAATTGGGGAAACCACAGGTGCGCATCCCATTAGTACATATCCAAGTTTTGTTTCTATGGCTAACGGGGTATTCGGAGGACCAGTAATGCGTTGACTACCGAGCAATTGGGCAAATAAATGAGCCCCAATGATTCCATCAACTTTGCCTGGAACATGAAACTCATCGTCTGCTAATGGAACCTTCTTTATATAGGTCAGAACACTTAGATCGACCTGAGATGTGGGTAGTTGATCAGCAATTTTGTCGACGACGAGCACGTCCAGCGTAAACCGTTGGGCTGCATTAATTTTGGAAATGCAAACTGTGCTGGCCCGGCCGTGTACGAAGCTTCGATTAGACCCAATACCGAGAACTGTAGTCTGACAAATAGAGGGTCGTAATTTTAAACGACGACTAAATTCTAAGGTTAAGAAATTGGGGTGACTGCCACTATCCATTAAAAATCTACCTTCGTGCAAATTCCCAAAGACGTCTAATACGTTAACTTTGGCCGTGGAGAGTAACACCGTACTATTACAAATATCGTTATTAGGGGTGATTGAATAACAGTTTAAGGAAGAAGAATTGGCACTATCAGAGGAAGTTCCACTACTAATGGGGGAATGAGTGTTGCGAAGCGAACTGTCTGTTATCGCAATTTCTAATTTACTATCGGAAGGTTTCGACTCTACTTGTCGTTGAAAATGTAGCAAGGTATGATGCTTGAGATTGCAAACTCTACAACTATAATTGCTTTTGCAATTAATAATTTTATGAAAGGCTAAGCAATTTAAGCATAAATTATTACTGCGTGTAATTTTGTAGCGTTCTTCGGGAGTCTTTTCTAAAAACTTCGGACAAGCTGTAAGACCATGAGCACTACTCTTACAAAATGCGCACTTTGAGGGCGAATTTTTCTGGGCGATAAACGTATGAGTTGGCTTATATCTGTTGCTCGGGGTGGAATTACCCTTTGCATGGCTATTAAACGTTTTTGTTTCTACACTACTAGTTCTTGAACAAATTTTTGCCTGCTCCTTTATAAAAATGATGATATCATTATAAGAGGGCATTTCCACATTTCTACGGGTATTTTCAAACAAGCGTTGTGTTTCTGGATTAAGTTTTTGAAGGGCTAAGTAGGCGAAAATATAATCTGCTAGGTCTGGTATTTCAATTTTGCGAAGTGCAGTTACGGCTGGATCAAATTTTTCTAGAAATGAATCTAATGACTGTACATTTTCTGTTGAACTCTGCTTGAACGTAAGTAATTGGTCTAAAAGAGAATTAGCTATAGAACGCTTATCTTCGTATTTATCTATAAGTGCATTGAGAATTATTCTATAGTTTTCTCCTGTAGGTGCGATACCTGAACACACCGAAAGGGCGTTATCTGTTAGACAACCAAGCAAATAATGAACGCGATTAACGTCACTTAAATCGGGATTATTATGGATCATACTATTATAACATTCTATAAACCTAGGCCATTCTTTACTATCCCCACTAAATTTAGGCAGAGGCATTTCGGGTAATTTGCGAATTGATTTACGGTCTTGACGCACCGTGGAAGCGGGTGTAGGACGGGTACTGTAACTATCGATAACCTTGATTGCTACATATTCTATACGACAAACTAAATCGTCAATGGTTTCTATAAGTTTAAAGTTAGGAACGAATTCTTCATCTAACTCGCATTGCAAAAGATTGATCTCGTCTACCAGACTACCACTGCTAATAATTTGGATTTGGTTTCTGATAATGATGCGTACCTCATCTTAAAATATGCAACTTTCTCAGTCGTTGAAATGTCCCTACTATTATCATACAAGCGTTGAAGACCAGCGAAATATTGCTCCTTTTTTGCATTCAAAATCTTTAAGCGCTGTTCTTTTTGTGTCGCCATCGTTAATCACAAAAACACCAATCTATCCCAGATAGAATGTCAAGCTCAAAAGTCAAAACTATAAATTGACGCGTATCAAAACAAATTCTATCACATAAATGGAATAGGCAAACCAGATTGAAGAAACTGAATGTTATCTTCAATTGCAGAGAAACTTTATCTCGAATCTAACCCAATGAAATTTACTATGAAATATTGCGTGTGAGAATATCTAAAACTATATAAAAAAGAAAATCCGGTTCGATTTGGACCAAATGTTTTAGTTAATTGAAATAGGCAAAAATATATCACTTACCTGTCGTTCAATTGCTATTTTTTTTCTTTTGTCTTTTCTGGTACAAGGAGACTATGGCGAGGGAAAGGAAGAAAACAGGATGGAGAAGATTTAATTGATTGACAGATAATCGAATGCCCAACACTACCAATGACGACGCCAAAAGACCAAAAAACACCTCACACGGAATACAACTTTACCAACAACAACTATTGAATTGAAAAATGTTATCAATAATGTATCACAATTTCCCAAACTAAAAATTAAATCAACGCATACTCCATCTACACAAAAATGAAAATAATACTATTTGAAACTGAAATTTAATCATCGGCATCAACAGCTACTGTGCCCACTTTTGTACAAATTGTACTACATGAAAACCTCTTCGAGCGGCGGAATACATGTCGCTGCTTCGTTGATGCAGTTTGAAGGATCAGATTGAGAACTGTCGGTGAAATAACTAAGCGCAAGGCCAAGATTTGAGAACAAATGGCGCAATGTAAATTTCCCTATGGCCCATTTTAAATAACTCAACGCCTTTACATTGCCGTATGGCCCTTCTTAAAAAACACTCTGTATGAATCGATACATCGATAAAATTTTTTACGAACGTGATTACTTGATTAGGCATAATCAACAGTGAGGCTGTTCCTAGGGCTGTTCCAAACTAAAGAAACGATTGACTACTGGAGGGTTGGTCTCTATTGCCAATTAACAAATGTTTACGAATGTGCGTTTTTGCGTAAGCCAAACTTGGAATTTTTAATGGTAACAAGTGCACGGATTACTAACACCATGTACATAATCCAAGAAAAAAAACGGGAAACATGATTTATTCATGTAATTAATTTAAATGAATTATGTCACACGTCGCAAACGGCATAATTTACTAGTCATTAAGGGAATTTACTTTTCCCATACTCATTTTATTGCATGGAAAAAGGGCTGTTTAGGAGCGAAACGCGCAGTTTCTCATTGTCGATGCAATTCACGTTAGTAAATTGGTAAACGATACATTTGTGATTGGTCGGTTGATTTGATTGTGTAAATCAAACTAAGCTAAAGAGCAAGCGGCTTTATGATCCAATTTAATTGTAAGCCCAAAGACAAGGACAACTAGTAAAGCAATGAAGGACAAGCACCTTCTGTCCACTGACCGTTTCCGCTGTCCTGAACGCTGACCGATAATTGCCCAGTGTATGTGTTAAAGGTAGAAGTCATTCCGTTATTCCCCATTGTCGGCGATCTCGGCGCTGTTAACGATAACTGATTATTTCGAGGCATTGTATAAAGGGCTTCGGCCAAGTCCGCTGCCCTCTTTAAAATAATTTCCTGAAAGCAATTAAAACACCGATTAGTCCAATTACTGAATAATGAGCAAAGTAAATAATAATATTTAATGTTTCAACAGTTATTAATTTGATAACTTGTAACGTTAAAAGCCGCGCGGCCGTAATTCACGTAATCAAGTTATAGTAATACTCACTTTGGGAAGCTTTTCTGGATCACCTGGATGCCTTGGAATGAGTTTTTGTAACCTTTGAAATCCGTAATCTATTGTCGGTTCATTTAGTGCTACGAAAAAGGTACATCAGCGACACCGACATAATTTTGTATGGTGTGTACTTACAAACATAAACAAATCGACCCGGCGCTCCTTTACAGAACTGCTTAGATTTATAGGACAATGTCACCTCTACAACACCAGGAATGTGCCTTGGTGGTGTTTGAACTCGTATTGCGTGAGGTGTAATAAGCTGCAATGTAAACATAATAATTATATTAGACATTATAAAAGTTTATTAAAAGATTTGACAGCTACTTTGCGACTAACGTAAATCTTAAACCTTTTAAATCGAAAAAACAGTTTTTCCGTTTTTTCTAGGAAAAGTGGAGGTTATGTGAAAATAGTGCAGATACAAAAGTTGCTCATCTCTATAACTTTTACATTTAACATTATCGTTTAAAATTAATAGTTTTGCCACAATTTGCAAAACACCACTCTCCACCCCTTTCAACCCCCGGGATTTCACCCGCGGAAAAATTCAGCTGTTTTTATTATTTTTTCTCAATTTCTATTCATTTTACCTGCCTGAAAGACCCGGTTTCGCCCGGTAATTAATTTTTTTTTTAAATAAATTATTGTAGAGCTATTTAGCCTGGACTATACAGTGTGTAAAGCGATGGGGTATACAAGAGGGAATTTTTTTAAAATATTGATTTATGAAAAAAATGTATTCTTCATGATATTTTTTGCTTGCTTTGAAAGTACCAATAACGTTTCGATTGTTTGTGGTTTGATAGCAATACGCTATCTTGATTATAATGTAGATAGAATGATAATTTTCAATAAAAAAATTAATTTTATTATTTTTCCAGATTTCTATAAATAAATTTTAGATTATCGAAACGTTATTGGTACTTTCAAAGCTAGCAAAAAATATCATGAAGAATAAATTTTTTTCATAAATCAGTATTTAAAAAAAAATTCTCACCCCCATCGCTTTACACACTGTATATACTGTAGTGATCACAAGGGTATTATAAGTCATAGTGATCTTACAAGCTCTTAGGTTGAACGAGTCTCACAGTTTTCAAGAGATTAGAAATCTCAAGATACTCAAGTATCTGAAGAGTCTTAAAAATTTCAAAGTCCAAAATCTTCACAAGTTCTCGCGCTTTTCAAGGGTTTCAATCATCTTCGGGGTCTTATGTCATGTCAGTTTAATTGATTTTGAAAATCGAAATTAAGTTAGTAGAGTAAAATCTCAATTTATCCACACATTTCGTCGGAAAAATTAAAGTAGTATCATGTAGTATCATGGGTTTGATACCCTCAAGTGGGTCGTTTTCAGAGAAAAAATGTTTAAAGCTAGCGGTATAGCGTCAAGTCTCGCGTCAAGTATGTGTACATTTTGGGTTGGTGCTGACGAGTATATTGATAATGACAGTGGTTACAGAAGCCCTTTACATTACGAGTATACGTATGTACTTGTTTGTAAGGTTTAATTCAAGATTACCAAAGCAGTTGGATCGGAGACGTTGACGCCAAGATAGTTCTTATCCGGAATATTCATATTGGTACAGTTGGACAAGTGAAATCCAAGCCGATTGATACTAAGTATAATTCATACGCAGAATGATTCATACTCAGAACGTTTCGTACTCCCCGACTACTCATACTGCGTCGTTGGCATGAATAATTTTTTTAAAATGCGAACATAGGAGTTTGCATGCAATGTAATTTCCCTCTGTTCGATTTTTAAAAAAACACATCAATCTATTGAGTAGTTCAAATGAGTAGTAGATACAATTGACGGCTGTCACATTTTTAAAAATACCGTCGTCCAATTTAATTACGAAATCGGTTAAGTTATTGCTTAGAATGTCAAAGAGGACACTTTGAACAGTTATTGTAGTTGTTTTCGCTATTTATTTTCTTATTTTCTTCGTTTATGTATTGAATAGATCAAATTAGTACAATACCAGGTGCACCATGACCTACAAATAATTGAAGGTTGTTTCACAATGAGTTGTGGTGTCAGTGCGTGGCCTGTGAGGTCAAGTTATCGTAAGTTTAAGATCCTAATCCTAATGTTGCTATGGCCTCACATGGCTTCTTAAAAAAAATCTTACCGAGTGCTCTTCATCATAAAGACTATAGAGTCGCTGTTCATAGTCACACAAGTTGCGCGATTTGGGAATGTGAACCGCGCACACCTCATAGATTGATGTGTTTTTTTTTAAATCGAACATAGGGAAATTACATTGCATGCAAACTCCTATGTTCGCATTTAAAAAAAACTCACTGTATAACATCTTTCTAAACTGTATTTCAAGTTTGCTTATCAAAGGTAGAACACCAACACGAAACTCTAATGAATTCCACTGCGATCCATGGAACTTAGTTAGCTAAACCGAGACAGTTCATCCTGTTGTTTTCTGCCATAGGCATGTCTTGTGTAGATGATCATTACTCTGAAACTATACAGGGTGTTCATAAATATGATGTACATATGGCTTATCTTATTACTAAACATTCATATAAACATTGGTGCGCAAACGCTTCGTTACCGATCAACAGGGTGTTATAATTTCACGATTAATTTATAAGCATACGCAAACACAAGATATAATTTCACGCGAGACCTCACTTTTTCACCTGCATGAGGTAATAAAACAGATTTGACAAGAGCAAAAATCTGAAACTAGTGACAGTTTCCACCAGGTCTGAATGTCTCAAAAACTTCTTGTCCACAAATCACATGTGTTAAACTTCATAAGTTCATACTGAACTTTCGATTTCGTTAGGCTCGTGTTAAAGATATTCCTTTTTACAGAATTGTGAGACTGTTTCATTGTTTCTAGTAAGAGCGAGATATGGAGTTTATTGAATAAAAAGTTAGAAACCTGTGCACTGTAAAGAAGTTTAAGTAAACGTCCCTTTTACTTTCAAATTAGCTTTTAATTGCTAACCCGCGCTTGTACACATAAAAAAAATGGCTATACCACTAAATAAGTTATTTGCCTACGTTATTCGCTTACAACTCTTAAAAGTACGTCAAAACTCAAGCTGTCGCTCTACTTTAATGTGATCAAATTACATGACAAATTACACTGCGAAATACAGAAATGCATTTACCTCGCTCCAAACTAACATGGTCCCAAATACGACTTGTAGTCCATCGAAGAAATTGTCTCCGACAATTATAACTGTCGATCCACCCGATGTCCACCCTTCACTAGGACTAATGGCTTTAATGCAGGGGGTTGCTACAGGTAGCGGAGGGTATAAACCTGCGATTAGATTATTAATTATGATTAATATACGCCTAAGTAATTATTTTAGCATCACACAAGTGTAACAGTGAAAAATTAAAGCGAGAGTTTTTTTCAGAAGGAAAGAGATTAAGATAAAATGGATAAAATAGAACAAAGTGAGATATTAACAAAGTGAAGCACGGCTTGTTCCGCGATGAGCGGATAATATAGAACCGCGTGAGGGTGAGATATCGGCTCGGAGCGCAAATCTTACGAACGAACGTGTAATAAAGATAGACGGAGAAAGTGAATAAGAAAGAAGATTAAAGGGCTCATAAGAAAGTGCAGGCGCTGTACGCTGTTTCCGCTTCCTTCCTCCACTGAACTGAATCGGGAGCCAATTTCACAAAGTTTTGGATCCGCTATGGGTCCGCATACAAACGAGATGTTTCCGCGAACGCGGTGCACAACATTGGCGTATCCTACGATTGGGTTGCAACGGGCCACGACGCATACCAATGAACTCAATGATTTGTGGTTTATCCCTAGTAAGCTCGTCAGTATTTCGCATCTTTAAATTTTCCGTTTTAAAGTGTAAAGTGTAACGTGTAGTATAGATAGAAAATAAAAATGAACATACTGTTTATATAAGTACCTTCGGAGGGATCCAGTCTCTTCGCTCGCCTTCCGTGCTTCGAGTTGTTATGTACAAACATATTATCCGAAATCGCCAGTAAAGGCCCTTCCACCGACACTTGCGTTGCAATGACAACCTGTAAATTAAAAAATAAATTTTATTTCATCCAGTGACGGTGCATATGTAGCCATTTTGAGGTTTAAGGTGGCAGATATAGTGCATAGAAAGACAGACTCCTCCCTCGGGGACGCTCGCGCTTTCCCTAGGGGCCCTGCACCCCCGATACACACGCGTTCCCATGGGAACCGCGGGATGATGACGGCGGAGCGGCCAGTAGGCGTCGTTCGATACGGACGCTTGAAATACGGCCATCGACCAACATAAGATGATATACCAAGTGCATCGGACGTCTCCAATTTTTCCCCCCTAAATTTTTCGTCTCATTTAAAACCGGCGGCGCCTATTGGAATTTAATAGCCTCATAAATTTAATATTTAACCCAAATAAAGTCGGATATGAAGAAGCAATTACCAAGAAAGTACTTGCCGCTGAAGGAATTACACATAAAAGTAAGAAAACGAGCGGGGTCGGTCTACGGACGAGATCAGGGAAAATAAATGAGATACAAAAACCAAAGGCACCTTATAGTTCTTACTTTCCCAATTCTCTCGGTGACACAAGGAAAATAAAAATCTTTTCTATTTCAGTCGCCCTTCCGTCGGTAAATCCAAACTGACTCTCGGTAACGCGTACGAGAATTGAAACAAATGGTGGTGTTATACGTCTCCGCTGTTATTTCCTTGTAATATCACAAACGAAAATTATCTCGGCGCATGTAAACAATACTACGCGTACGTCAGTGGGGCGGAATAATTAATATCTTCTTGCTTCGTCGCCTATTTGTACTAATAAAAAATAGACAATTCACAAAATGCACCGCAAATGTAGATACAAATCAACTTACTCTTTGCCGTTTTTGTTTTTCGCAACAAACAAATAAATCCTTCCAAAGATGCTTTCCGCTGATTCTATAGACTGATTAATATCACTCCCTTAGTCTGATATTAAGGTACCTTGTCAACATCTTTAGCAAGTTGCAAAACATCACTCTGTATGATATCGTGATTCGCGGCTTTGAAGTTAATTCTAATAAAGCGTGAAATATTACAAAACATTACATGTGATGGGGAAATAAAGGCATAAGTGCCTTAAGGGGACGGTACTTGCATTCCTCTTAGCAAGTTAAATGTTGTATAACCCCTTTAGACGAGTATTATTGAAATATATATGCGCATAACCATTGAATAAGTAAGTACAAGGCTTATGGATTTTTGCGTATTCCCGCAATGTTGGTTGCATACCGTTAATTTGTTCACATTTCTTTCTTTTCTAGTATAGCACTTTCAATGTTGGGTATGCTCTTACCTTCTCTAAGCTATCAATGATGCAGACATGTCAGCCCTGTTGCCAATTTGTCTACCTGAAGTTCTGAACTCGTCTAGTTTACTTAATAAATTGGTTTACGGTGATTATTCATCTTGAGCGGTCATTGAGAATGATTGAGGGAAAATTTTTAAACAGCTCCACCGGAATGATGGTTTGTAAACTCAATATCGTCTCAGTTTTATAAATGGCAGTTGTTTCCCCTCCCCTAAGTTTTAAACAGAAATGTTTATCATTATCATATTCACCGCATCGCCGCATTAATTACTTTGACCGTAACATTTATATTATGAAAAAAATTGTTTCAAAACTAAAGAACACTGACGTAGTGAAGAACGGTAATGTTTTGATTTCGAATGTGGCACGTCCACAGATGATGGTATCAGATGCAATTTATTTCACCTCTTCGTCCATTTCCAAATGTATAGGTATACTCCGGTAGGTTTCAGAATTTTTTTAGTTTTGGAACGGCGAGATAAAATTTTCGAAACGAGTACGATCCCGATATTGCGCTTCCTTCACACACAGCCGATCCATCCCCCCATTTACTCTTAAAAGTTCCCAGTGCGAGCAAAAATTCACCGTACTCAGTCGCGCAAGAACAGAGATATTTTTGCTCGATATCCACTGAACGAGAGTGACCTAAATTTTAACCGACGGAGTTCCACTTTGTCGTATCCGAGTATGCTAAAATCGGGGCCGGGACACTTCGCCGAATGCTCACAACTCCGACCCGATTTTTTGATGGTCCATATCTCCGACGGACATTATGCCGACAATGCCCACTTCGCCAACGGACGATGTGCAATACCAAGCAGCTTTTGACGTTACGTTATTGTAGGTTTAGAATATTTTTTTTAACTTTTTTCGAACTACAGACTCATCCTCGGAAAATTCTTAATGAAACTGGACGGAGTGTGAAACAAAGCAGCTTTGGATATGAGGTTATTTGTAGGTTTAGCACATTTTTTTAATCTTCATGAACCTGGACAGAGTATGAGGGACCTGGTTCTTCGAATAGTCGGCGTTGTGGTCAGGTTCGGCTTAGTGTCCCTTGCACACACCGCGATGTCGGTGTAGTTTCTCTAGTCGGCGATATGGGCTATCAAAATATCGTGTCGGCGAACTAACGTGAAGATTTTTCAGTTTTTTCCTATCTTCTACTACAGTTTTGGTTCTATTCGTTTCAAATTGGTATCGTCGGAAAGATGTAAACGCGCACAACTCCTATGCGTGGCGGAATTTTGTTTTTTGTCCTAGGGGCGAAATTAACGACCTTTTGCAAGACGCGCGCGCGCGTCTTCGAGAGGTAGTCAACTTCGGGCACCTTTTACATTCTATGCGAATTTTGTCACGCAGTTTTTCGTTTTGTAAATCTCGAATCGCTGTCTCTCTTTCTTGTGTCGCCAATATAGAAGCTCGAGCAATGAGAAGTGCCCCAAAAATTATCTTGTGGAAGGTTTTTAGCGAAATCCACCAAAATGTGGGTGTAATATAAGTATGCACCGAAAACGGAAATGTGGTAGCCTCCGACAAGATCTAACTGATGGTGGAGTGAAAACTTCAAACGCGAATTTGGGGCGAACGGGGCGTCGGAAGTGGGTACCGTCAAAGGGAATGTGGTAGCCCCCGACACGATCTTATTGATGGTGGAGTCAAATCTTCAAACGCGAATTGCGGGTGAACGGGACGTCGGAAGTGGGTACCGTCAAAGGGAATGTTGTAGCCTTTGACAAGATCTTTTATTGATGGTTGAGTCAAAAGTGACTAATAGAATACTGATCTGCCACACAAAAATGCGCTGAAGTCCCTTCGATCTCACACGAGGACTTTGATATTTTTTTTAAGACAGACCATAAGATTTTACATGTTAATTTTTCAACCCCCTGTTACCTTTCATTTTTGTGAAAATTACAAAGCCTCGCGCTGTAATTTTATTCAATATTAATGTTTCTAGTTATTTAGTTGTGGAGCAATACTCTATATAACGTGAAATTTTGGAATGAAAATAATTTCCTTTCTGCGTGAAAGTTTGTTTAATCGGTACAAATGCCACTAAAAATTGAAAGTTGAAGCAAACGGAATCTTTGTGCTAGGTTTTTCCTTACTTAATAAAAATAATAATAAATGCCTTTATTGCCCACACCGAGGCCCACACCCAATAATAATCGAAACAATCATCAGGTTACTGCAGAATTGGAATTGTGGTGCAAGTTCAGGGACTGGCCCTCATGTGCCGCTCCTGGTCTTCCACTTGAACCCAGAATACTATATTAAGAAATTATTAAATTGGAATTATTTCAATACTTTATCAGCTCCCACATCTTTACACTAAAAATCTGAGATGAATAGGTATGTTACTGAAAACAAAAGTTAACAGTGGGGGTGAAAAACTAACATGTACAATCCTATGGCCAGTCTTAACAAAAACTCACTGCATAACTGATCGTCATACTAGTGGTCTGTTCTGCTAAGCAATTTGGAATGAGAGAATAGGGCAGTAGATCGAAATGTCTTGACAAGGCATATCCATGGCTTTACGTTATTTGTAATCAAACCACATCGGAATACAAAACTGGGTTGGGCAGGCTGCCACTGCAATATGAGTAAAGGAAGAAAAAGTAAAGGATGGACATATATTGGAAAAGCTCTCTTTTTCTTTTTTACAAAGGGTGGTTCGGTAGAAGATAACGCTAGAATAGAAGTTTGAATGATTTATAAAAGAAATGCCTACCCTCTCTTAGTTATTTTAAATGAGAAATTTTTCTAAATAAATGATGATCCGGTTATATTAAAAATTGTGTCAAAAGCGATAATTTACAGGGACACACTAAAAATGTAATGGAAAGATCTATCACAGGGCGTCACATTTGAAAAAATGAACCTTGAAAATGAAGAGACAGGTCACTAAACTGTGGACCTGTATACGATAAATCAATTGTTAAAAGGACTTCGAAAGTATCTTGCTTTAGCGCATTCTTGAAAATAAAGCTATATAGATAATAATCAAGATAATTAAAAAACACTGCACTTAACGAAACTCATCACATTTTCCCAAAAATCAAATAATATATAGATTGTTGCACTTAAAATAAGCGGAAGTGCCACCAACTTAAAAATATTTTAGATGAATTCCTCGTATTGACATTTTCAAAATATTTCTCCTTTTCGAGATACAAATAACCGGAATTCATCGTAGGACACCCAAAGCCCTTTTTCACCGAGCTACATACTCAGAGGTTTCCAAGTGTCTTGCTTGGTTTTTTTCTCAATAGTGGTTACAATTTTTGAGAATATAAAAACAAACAACAATACTTCGTTCGATAACAAAAAAATAGATATGGATGCGTCTTCATGTTACATAATACCCGGATGCCAGACTTCATCGGGTCCTTATTGGACCAAATTGTGTCAAAACCACAATTTTGTCGTACCCACGTTTTGGAAAATGTTTACAGAATCATGAATGGCACAACCAAAAATCTAGGCAATGCGTCCGTACCATCTTTAATACAAGTTTGGACTCTTGGAGGCAAAGGTCTCAATCGACCCATTTTGACTGTTAGTTTACTGGATATACGAGGGACACAAGAAAAAATCTACTTAGCCATGAAAAAAACAAATAGAAATTTTTTGTAATTAGTTATGTGGTGTAGCTATTAGTACATGCCCCATCGGATTATGTGGTAAAATTTTTTATAGTGTCCCTCGTATACTGATGAGTAATGACTTGAGTAAGGCTAAATCCCTGATGTTTAAAAATATTTACTTCGTCATAATTATATAGTAAAGTGTATTTAGGTTTGTGTGGAGAAAATGTGTAGAAAATTAAGAATTGGTACATACCGTCCTCTTTTAAGCTTGCTATTTCTGAAACCGGATAGAAAGACCAGAAAACGGAAGTTCATATGGAAAAATTAATAATTCGATATTTATAAGAAAAAGTGGCAACGAGTAAAAATTCGTAATGTGAGAACTGCAAGTACGAATTGAATAATACAGAGAATGAATAGATAAACGAATTATTTGAGAAAAATAGCAAATTAGTAGGTATAAAATCACTAGGAATCTACCAGAAATTAACAAATATATAGAGATTTATAAAATATATACTAAACATCTCACCATTTTGATCTTCAATCATTCAATTCAAGCAAAAGATGAACAAGAAAATTTTTATTTAAATTTGTCTGCTCTATTGAGCTTTAAATTTAGAAATAGGTAAAACTATAGAGTAAAGAGGAAACAAATTTTCCACGCTCCTGGAAAATATGGATAAAAATAAGTTAAGAGAATTTGTTGGATAAAACCTAGGGATAAATCCAAATGTCAAAAAACAAGGTATACTATTTCCATTAGAAAAAAACATAACTGGCTGTAACAATAAAGCAATAAAGACTGAACGATTATATATTTTGAATATGGGAAATGCATGCCATGTTTGTTCATCCGAGGCACTTTGTTGCAGTTCATGCGGTTAATTAGATTTAAAAAACTATGAATCGTCATTTTGATACTTTTTATGAATTTCAGCTTAACTTATTCATATTTACAATGAAATTTATTTAGAAATCTAAAGCGTATCGAGCCGTTAAATTAAATTAGGCAATTAAACCATTATAATTTACATGCACATCTAGTAAATCAAAACATCATTACATATACGGCTTGCTAACAAATTGGATTTTTTATCAACTTTATTCGCTTTTATCACAATTTTACACATGGCGGTGTAACATCAAAATTACATTTCGCCGAATTCTGCATATTGCGCGTATAAATGCGGAATGAAAGTACGAAATTGTTTAATTGATTCCGTTTGGAATAATAATAATTACGTACCTACCACCCATTCCTGTTTATTTTAGTTTAACAGAATAGACCGGCTTTGTACGATGCAATGGAAGCGGACTAATTCGCGATATAAAAGTTTTAAATTTAAAGATACCGCCCGCTGTAACAGCTAATTGGTGCGCCCCTGAGATTCCATTAAGAGCAACACGGTCTTCCCGCCGCTTAAAGACATTTATTTTTATAGGGACTTGTCTTAATTTTATTCTGTTTAACTAGAATTCTTCTTGTACTATTAACTGCAGTAAAGCAAACACATTAATATGCTACGGGTATATCAGCGATAAAAAAACGAGCAGTCATTACAGGGGAATTCTAATTACTGGATTTAGGCGGTAGTATATAGTATAGTGTGTATCGTAAAACTTACCTGAAATCTTCTCATATCCCTTGGATTGCCAGCATTTTTTAGGCAGTTCTGATTGCACTTTAAGAAGAATTTAAGAAAGAATCTGAAACAAAAAGAGAAATCAGCCTTGTTGACGACGTAAGTCTATCACATTAACATTCGAAGCGAATAAACGTTTTTCCGACACGCTGCTGTAAAAAATATTGTAATTTGGCTACTTCCGAGTAAAAGTTTCCAATAAAACGCATTTCGCAAATTTTATTAACCCACAAAAAATTGTGTACTTTTTCGAGTATTATATCAATGATCAACACCACAAAAGTACATTTTACATCTACAGAATGTTATACCGGAGATCAGATTCAGGGAAGCAGGTACGCATTATCGATCAAACATGAAAATGCCCTCCTAACTTAAGGGTTACCACATTTCGCCACATAAAAAAAGAACAAATATTTCAAAGGAAAAATGTATGCATACTTTGAGAGCAGCACTTAATTAACTACATATCGGTTCCCGTTTTTTATGCAATATGAAATATAATAACCAAGTTGGTTAACCCGCTAGGAAACACATTCTTAGAAGAACAGATTACCAAAATCACTTAAATTAGCTACATATAAGTAATAAACATTATTATTATTATTATTATTTAAAAAATTAAGTAATAACCTTGGGTTGAAGTACTGTCATTCCTGTTTGTATTTCGCAAATTTTTAAACTAGTATTATGGGATGGATTAAAGAGAATAGGTAGATTATTAGGAATTTGGAATTTATAGGAATGTATCTAATTTCAAAGAATTTAAGAGAATTCTCGATGCTCTGACCAACATTTTGAATTCATACCCAAACGATGTCTTGTAATTTGATAGTCAAACAACAATTTTTCCTTTTTCATTTAATATCTTGAAAATTAAAGAAACTTACTCTCTTAAGCGATCTAACAGGTTTCAGTGTTTTTAACTATTTCATAAATAGAAGAATATTTTTTTGATATATTTGATTTGTTTATTCTTAAAAAATTGTCTAGATTTTCCTGAAAGCGAATCTGACAAAACTTTTTGAAAAAGTTTGGTATTTGCATTTGCAGAATTGAAGCTAAAATAAGGTTTCCACTGTATGGAAAGTAAGTATTCCCGCTGTTTAGTAAAGAAGGCTTTTTCCAATATAACGACATAGTGGATGTTGTTTTGAGTACATAATATTGTTCTATATTGCTTTTTCCGTTATTGGCTATAGATACTTCCTTAATAGTAGTTTAGACAATTAAATATCAGCATCATCTATGGCACAAAGTGCTTGTATACCGACACATTCAAATTGTTCCTTCAGTTGGTTAATTAAACGTTCTTTATTTACCAGATTGCTCAGGAAATTTTGCTGCCAGGAACATATTGTGTCGTTTCGTTAAAATTATTTCAACAGACATAATATATCAAGTGTAAATTGTGCACAACTCTTGTGCAGATAAAGCGCATTTTTTAAACCGAAATACCTTACTAAATAATTGGTATGCTATATTTATCGATGTTTACTTTCTTGATAGATGATTGATGGGGAACCCCTTTACACATAAATATTTAAAGGCCGCCTGGCATACTTTCAAAATATACTCTACAGTGCTATTCACTAAGAAGTAGACATAGGGATTGATGTGTATTGTTTTTCCCTATGTCTATTTGTAAATGACAAAATCTCTTCTGAAAGGTGCTGAATTTTATGCAACCAAAATAACTTCTTAAAACAAATAAAGGTCTTGCTGCCAGATTAATTAATTTGAATATTGTTGCTTTGGGTTCCGAATTTTTATTTTCTTTCGTGTGCGATGTTTTCGACTGCAGAAGAAGTTGATATTGTCAGTTGGTATAGTGCCGGAAACAGTTTAAGGAACGTAAAAGGTTTATTTTCTGTCAAACCAAAACAACAATATTCAAACTAATTAATATGACAGCCAGATGTGTATTTATTTTAAAAAATTATTTTAGGTGCATAAAATTAGGCGACCTTCAGAAGAGATTTTATTTTTTAAAAGTAGACAGAGAAAAACACGTAAATCAGGTGCTCTCCGAAATGTTGCATTTTACCTTTATAGGTACTTTCCTCACTTTCAACATTTTCGAGATATTCACAATTAAATTTTTACATCGCCAGTAGATGTGTCTCGTCTAGGCCATCGTTCCGCCGATTGAGGGTTTGTGAGTACCCTCCTCCGGCACTCCGTTCTGCAGATATATGCACTCAAAGTTCTGACATCAGCAATGGATATATTTCCTCCAGACGTTCTAATCTCCGTTTGTGAGTACCCTCCTCCGACAACGTTGAGACCTTTCATTACAGTGCCATGAAGGATAAAACTAACCTCTCTCCCCCCCGGGGTCGGGGGAAAGGGAAAGGAAAGTTACAGGGACCTTTCATACTTGGAATACCATTAACTACTTTAAAAACACGTTTCGAATGTAAACAAGAAAAATCAGTTTGATTTGAAAAAAATGTCGCTATATAACTTCATAGTGGTGAGTACTCAAGAAATGTATCGTCTAAAATTGTGAGTTTTACAAAAAAGTTCATATTTCAAGGGCATAACTAATGTAGAATTTTATAAGGAATAGTTTAGATTCTATCCATTTCCTTCGCCAGGGCAGCAGTGTTTGATAAAAATTGAAAACGCATTAAGGGATGGTTTTTAAAACAAATGGGGGTGAAGCACCCCTCCGAGAGGAGGGAACTCTCTTGATATATATTTTCCATGCTTTCCGTGAAACACATTGTTTTGAAACACAAGGATTCAATTTTGAGCTCTTCCTGGTATGCTCTCTTTTTGGCAAAAGTGTAAATTCTGTATTCGCTAGATTCTAAATTTTGTGTCCTTTCTGCCTTTTCTTTCGCAAAATTCCCTTATAGAAACGCACTGTAGTTGCATATATTTTTCACTTTCACTTGCGGTCATTTCGGCAAGCGAATTTGAATTTTTCGATGACGACGCCATGTAACACGTTCTATCTTTCAAACCCAGAACGTAAAATCCGAGGTAAAATATGACGTTATTCTTAGAGTGGGTTTTATACAATCATTATCATTAACTCTGTATCATTAGAACCTTAAGAAATAGCTAATAGAAACAAAGATATGGTTTGTTGGATATCTTTATTGGCTATTTCTTAATGATATAATGCTAAAGATAATGATTGTATTCTAGAACAAATGTGTATCATTGTACCAAAATTCATACATGAATGCCAACACCGTAAATCTTGCCATCATGTAATTGTAATTTTTTAAAGGGAAAGTGGACGTTACAAACTTCCTATGGATTTTAACAAAATCTATAAGCAACAACGGGATCTGACAATGGATCTCTATAATATATATGAAATTAACCGCACTATGTAATACAATTTAAGTTATTTTTCTTTATGGGTACACGGTTTGGCATTTTTCTATTGGTAACTTGAAAATTGCTATAATATATTGCTCCCAAATTGAGAAGTCGGTCTAAAGCGCGTTTAAAAATATTTAGAAGGAAGGTTTTCCCTTGAGATGGGTATAAATATGTACTGAAAGTGGAAAAGAAAAATTATTGTCGGCCGAGCCAAAATAATACTTATTCAAAAGATTACTGTTTGTGCGATCCGATATACGATTTTAGTTGTGTTAAATGAATAAAAATTGTGAATATTTAGATGAATTTGCAAATGTTTCTATGAAAATTATATTCGTGGAAAGTGTGCTACTAGAGCACCTCTAGTCCTAGCTGCCGTAAATAGTAATGAACCCTCCAATATCACTACATAAAGGCATCGTTGTACTATCAACATCTGCGAAATATAAAGGTTCATTAAAGTTCCGTGGAGATTCATTACGGTTTCATTGGGATTCATTACATTGCCCTAAATAGCCTTGTTTTTGGTTTAATAATACTGCCGCGAAAGTAGCCGTAAAAAGCTAACAACGGTTAAAAAGAGAGGTGGTCGAACGTTATCCATGAACATATTAAAGATTTTATGACTATATTTAGTCACTACGAGATGCCAGCATTCAGCGCATTTTTCGAATGCTTCAGTATTTAGAAAAACTGCTTTTGCAGTGACAATATTTGATCAGGATTGAGTAATGTCGATTTCGGCAGTTAATTTCGACCAGTAAATCGTCAGACGTGGACGCAAGGACAATGAAATTCCAGCGGAAGTCGGGCGTGACGGCGTGCGAGAACCACGTGTAGGGTAGATATGCTCATATCCCCCCTATTTGCACTGTTTGATAACTCATTCGACTAGAAAATTATATCCTCCGATTTGACATATTTACGTGATTCAATTAAGAATACCCGAAACGTTTTTATGTGCAGGTCATTTAGGGAATTGCAAAAACATCGACGCCATTCGATAAATTTGAAAGAATTATTCTGCAGCTTTTCTTTTCATGTATCTTGCGTAACATTGAATGGGTCAAAGTGTAAATAATGGATTTCTTTTATCCTATTGTCAAGTTCGAAATTGGATTTGCTAGGTTTAGTGGGAATAGAAAAGGTTGACACGAATAGCAATTTTAAATATCTAATAAAAATAAAATGAAACCATCGTGCAGTCGGTACATTAATTTAAAAGAACCTAAAAAAGTACATCAAATAAATAATGCAACCAAGTTTGGGGCAATACACGGTAGGTCTTGCCGAATTACAAATCCAATTTGATTATTCGGCGTATCTATGTTTCTTTTATGTTATGACATACCCTTGTATCTTTATTTCATTCAATATGCACTGCATTCGCTTCAATTGAGTGGTAGTGCTCACTTTAAAAGATGTCAGACAATGTAATACAATATATACCAATTTTTTTTAACTTCAATACGAGCTTCAATATGTGCAGAGAAATTAGGTGCGGTATAAAGAGTAAACTACTCAACATTTACTCCACATTTACCACGGTTACGGGTATTCCTTCCTGTGCGACTTTTGTTTTAGCCCATTTTCTCAAATTGCCTACAGTCAAAAGTAAAGTAACCATACTGTGGATAATTTGTGCATCAGTCTGTTCGTCCCTAAAACTACTTTTTACTGGAAAGTGCCATCCACCTAAAATTTTGATAATCCGGCTCGAAA